CGGTGATCTCCTAAATAGCATGATACTGAGGCTCCCAGAAGGAATACAGCAGGATGCAAACCTGGCGAGGCAATGCCTGGGAGGATGGCAGCACCTCTGGATGCTTGCCCTGCAATTCCCAAGGCAGGTCCAGACCAAGCATCCCATTACTCACAAACATTATCGTATTGGTGTCAAAGGATTCCTGTTACAGTGGTACCAATTAGCAGGGTGCTGGAATACACTGGGGTGATACAGAAACAAAGGCTCAGTAACCCCCTAACCCAAATCCTTGCAGATATTTATCACATGAATAAATCCCCAAAGCCCACAGCAGAGCTGTACAAGAGGGTGCATGCAGGGCAGAAGGCTCCCCCATGCCTTGATGATCATCTTTTACATAGGGCCAACATATGTGGCTCTGCAGGCTCAACACCTCGCACTGGTGGTCCTAGCTCACTGGGCAGCACTAGAAGCAGAGCAGAGAAGCACGAGCAGCTCACTGCAACCCCACATGGGGCATCCTTCACATTCAACCCTTGGAGCGGGGCTGGGTTTGTATCCCAGCCACTTGTGAGTCCTCTGCAGGGAACAGAACTTGTTCTCCCTCCCCAGCCTTCCTCGAACACAGAAGGGAGAAAAAGCCCTTCTTTTAACATTTCCACATGGGAAGCGACCTCTGTGTTCCAAGAGGACAGGAACCAAAAATCATGATTAAACACATGAGCTCCACCACACAATAGCTTTGCAGTCCCTTAGATGCAAAGATGTCCACGACTACCGAGGGCTCAGGCAGGACAGTGTGAGCACTGCACTCCTCCCAGGTGCCTCCTAGGCATCTGATCAGCCTAGGCGACAACAGCTAATTCCTCATGCTACACACAACACAGTGACTCCAGCAAGTACAGAAAAACAATCACAAGGTGGAAATTCAAACAGAACACGAGTCACCTGCTATCAAAACAGGGGAAAATTGGCAAGTTTCCTACTTAGCACTTACTACATCAAGGCTGTTCAATGATGCTAATTAAACAGGTACCTCCCAGACATAGCCAGAAAGATTTACATCCCTAATTTGCATTTCTCAGTTTATCTTTCTGTCCTCCAAGGCACCATTTTAATGGTCACGGTGTGATCGCTTGGAGGAGTTTAATTTTGCATGAGTGTCATTTGAAGATGAAGGTCTGTCCCATCAGTGTCTTGACAATTGCTCACCCAGGGTCCAGATCTTGCCCTCTGCTCTCTTGCAGCAGGGCTCAGCTGCTCTCTGAGATTTTCTTCGTCTCTTGAGCTTGGCTTCACTAGTAGACATATAAATAATGCTGGGCACAGCCACTCGCAGCGATCCAGCTGCTGTCCTTGTCCAGAGGCTGGGTATGTATCAGTCTGTGGATTCTTTTGGGGGTGAATGAACCTCAGAAATATCCAGCACAGAGCCAGCACCAACAGCTGATCTGGGGGACATGTGCAGGGCTGTTAGTACAAAGCAAAGCAGCACTGGAAATCAAGGACCAGTCTCAGAGCTGTGATCTCTCCATGCAGCTCCAAAATCCAGCCCCCAAACCCAAGCCCAGAATGTGGCTGCTCCAGGGCAGCTCCTGAATAAGTGGTTACTCCAGTGGGATGGTGCAGAGCAGCAGGAGGGGAGGGGTATAATTGCAAATAATGAAAAGTGGCCACACCACTGTGATAATTAGTGTGAAAGCAGAAGTCATTCACACTCAGGAGGGGGAAGGTGTCTCTGCCAACACCCCTTGCCCAGATGGCCCTGATAAGGCTCTGATTAGCTGCAAGTCTCCAGCCCCAGATAATAACTGCTTATAGTGATTAGGCTGGTAACAGACTTGATGAGAAAAGGGAGGTGGTGACACCTGTTTGCTTCATTTGGTCAACTACAGAGTACCTGGGGAGCATCTAGGAGTAAACAGCTTATAGCTGGTGGCCAAGAGAGGGCTCAGAGCACAACAGTTGCTGTTAAACCGATGCAGTCCACAACAAAAATACTTTAAAACCACAATCCATCCTTCCTGGCAAAATACAGATGCATCACGTAGAGGCACTCATTCCAGAGAGGGAACACAAGAGCAACAATCCCTCCAAGATTTTGCAAACAGCTTCCAGTGCCAGACAGAAATCAGTGGAAAGAAAAGGAAACACAGCGGATGCCTTACAAACCTACAGAACCTCTGCAAAGCATGGAGGTGAGTGTGTATAGCACTCCTCGAAGGGATCTGAATTCATCCCTCAAATGTGCAGCTCCCAGGCACTGATCAGAGTAGCACTCTTGGGTGCTCATGGACATCTTAAGGGCTGCTTGGCAGCAGGACGCAGGCTACAGCAGTGCATTACACCAGCCATGGGGCTGGCTCCTTTCACGTTTTGCTATGAAGGTAACGAGGAAATATTTGTACAGGGAGAAATGTGCAGGGCAGGGGTGTACAAGGACGGCAGGCAGCACGCATTGTGTTCCTGTCTGCACTGCTATGGAGCTAGACAGAAAAATCCTCATCTCGTGCCTCCCCAGCATTGCAGGCATTTCTAGCACTACCTGAATACACTGCTAATAAGAGGCAACGGTCAGGAGGGGATCTGAATGAGCAGCTCAAGATAAAACTTTTCCAAGTTGCTTACCTGTCACCTGCCATCCTGCACCTGCTCAAAGTATCATCAGCCCTTCAAGAACACTTCCCTGAATTCTTTGTCAATCACACCTGCCAGCGGAAACAAGGCGTTATGATCGGAAAAGCAGTCTCCATCATGTAGAAGAACAAAGCGATGGGAGTGGCAGCAGGAAGAAATGGGAGAGGTGGGCTGGTGAGACATTGCTGCCGTGAGACCTCTTCCCTGGAAGGGAACATCTGGGAGGCTTAGGGAGGAGAGAAGAGCAACTGCTGCTAAGTTTCATTTTACAGGTGAACTTCAGCCATCTGCAGAGGTTATCTGCCATTTTGGGTCACTGTCCAAACACTCCAGATGATAGTCCAAGGGCCTTTGCTGACCAACTCAGTAATGGCCAGAAACACATTGTCTAAACACCAGCTGGTAGCCCATTTGCTTCAGCTATGTTGAAGTACTATGCACAGCTCCCCCAGAGAAAGCAACCCCTTTCCCCTCAAACTATAGCTGCAAAAAGCAAACATGGCAACTTGGCAATTCATGGCCAGTGTTTTTTGACTCAGAGAGATCCCACAGTTGACTTTCCCTTGTACTGGCTGTTGTCATGGCAAGCAGAGGAGAGAAGGAACAATGTAAGAGATGGTTAGTCCTTGACACACTCCATCCTTGGACTAATGGCAGCTCCCCAGCAAAACAATCCCAACAGCAATTATCAAGGCTCTTTAAAATGGGAAAAGCAAAAACAGATTAAAAAGCCATTTGAAACCTTGAAGCTGAATGCCAAGTGGAAGAGAACGCTGAACAGCCAGGGCTGCACACTCTTGGTGAACAATGCTGAGATGCTTCACTGTAGACAAAGCTAAATGGACCCCAAATGTCAAACCTGAGCAAGGCTGTGGGGACAGCACTTGACAGAGTGGCAATCAGTGCTGCTTTATCCTAAGTGGTTACAGTGTGGAACACCTTCCACAGAGGGGTTGAGGAGTGCTCCTGTGCTCCCCTGCCATTGCACCACAAGGTACTAAAGAGAGGCGAGACAAAAGATGACTTTCAAGTGCAGAATTCAATTATGCTCCAGCCACGTGAATCACCATTCCACTGGCTGGATCATTTTCTTTCCTTGCTGGAGCCAGCCCAAGGATTTGTAGAGTATCTGCAACCTGGGAATGGAAAAAAACTTTTCACTGTTTCAAGAATGGCAAGCAGTTGTTACTGAGCCAAAGCTTTATTGTTTCCAGTAGTAATACACTACATAAAAGTTGTAAGGGATGGAGACAAGAACAACAAAGTAATACAAGAAACACAAATGACAAGAGCAGACTAAGCACTATTCACTGAGCCCTTCTTGTCTATCTTGAGTCAACTCAAAAGGCTGATAAATGGTAGGGGTTTAGGACAATATTCCAATGAAAGCTACAAAACACAACCAAGAGAGATGCGACAAAGGGAAAAGTGGTCTTTAACAGCAAATATGAGCTACTGCTGTCCCTTCATCACATTCACATGTGGCTAGATCACATTCTCCTGAGCTATATCCTTCCCTCAATCCACAAGAAGTTTTTCCACAGATGACTGAACAGTTCTGGTTTGAACTCGCAAGACTACTTCATGGAGGTAAAATATAGAGGTAAGAAGTTTCTAGTCTCACTGGTACAAAAGCATTCCCAGATTTATCCCTGACATTGTTTATAGAAAACCTAGTCTCAGTTAAAACCCAAACCCATAGCTCAAAGCACCACAGTAAGCCAGCAAGGATTACCAGGTTCCTGTGCAGAGCTGGCAACCCACAGTGTGGTAGAGTCTGTGGGAAGTAAGAATGGGAGTGAAAACACAGCAGACCTGCCTGCATTGTCCAGGAATGAAGGATAAGAGTTTGAAATTACATGCTCCAGTTTAAAAACTCTTTCCAACTCCAGTGTAGTTTTTTATGAGAAAGTAACAGGTTTAAAGAAAACTGAATCAATTTTTAAGTGTCTTTTTCCTTCTCCTTCTTCTATAGAATTAACTTAAGCTGTCAGGCCAGACTGTCTGAAGCACTGCAGTAATGACAGTGTGAGCAAGACAGCCTCAGTAGGACTGTCAAAAGCTCCAAGGCAAAACAGGACTTATTTTGGTGGCAAAACACTTCTGAAATTGAAGACCCTACAGCTCACAGAAGAAACAGCACAGCTTCAGCTCAGAAATCACACCAGCATCTCAGCAAAAGCTGACTTTTGGATTTACTTTTTCTGAAATAATTTTGGCATTACCCCTTTCAGAGATGCTGCTGGTTGTGTCTCAATGGCCAGGTTTAAATACAGACCACAACATAAAGCATCTCTCAGTGGAGTACAACCTCATCCCTTGCTCTCTTCCACACCAGTGTGGCTTCTCTTTATGTCACCTCAAAGAGCCCATGTCATCTCAAAGAGCCCACATCATCCAGTTTTGTTTTCATTTTTCAAAGGGTAGAAACAGATCACAGAAGAGCTGGAAGGAATTTCCCAGCAACCTGCCATAGCATGGTAACGGGAAAAGCAGTAAGGGAATGTTCCTCTGTTGAACCATGGTCATTTAGAAGGGAAGTCAAGGATTGATTTCCAATCTCCTGTTAGAGTGTTCCAACACCCAATCTCATTTATCTTCATACTGCAGGCATTTGTAAGAGCATGTACCACAAAGCACCCAGCTGCAAAGGAGAACAAAACAAAGGAGTAATAACCAAAGGAAAAGGCTGACATTAACAGGCACAAATTGCCTTTAAATCCATGATTTCAGAAGGAATTTTTTGAAATCCTTTGTTTATTCTGCTAAAGACAGGTCAGATCGAAAGCATTTAATAAAATCCACAGACTCCTACTTGCTTAATGTGGGTTTTGTTCAGGCCTTCGAAGATCTAATTGCTCAAGAGATGTCAGGTAATTTAATTTTTCTCATCTGTCAGGCCTTAGAGGGATATTGTCCATCCTGGAGAATAAGCAGGACCAGGGCACACAGCTTTCTACAGCCTGACTCATGATGATACCATCACAGTCAGCCAGATGCTCAAGACTTGCAGGAAAAAGGTAAAACAAAGGCTTCTGTTAATGCAAGAGGTGAAAAGGTACGCATGTGGAAGGAGAATCTGTACTGCTTAACAAGATAAAGTAATTTGAAAGCTTTTATCCTATTTGGACACACAAAGGCAGCCAGTGGGCCATGGGGCAGTGGGCATTCTCACACCAGGAGACGCAGCACACACGCAATGCCCATGATCCCACTGGCAAAGCACCACCACAGGACACACAAGCCAGCATACAGCCAGGAGGACCAAAAACTTCACAGTAAACTTCGAGTGTTTCTTTACAACCTGAAGTGCCTCCCTGAGCAGACAGCCCTATCACAGAGATGTCAGTGGAAGCGAACAGGAGCATGACTTTGCCAGCTGATTCAGGATGCCCCCACCAAAATCCTATCAAACCAGAACAACAGTGACAAGAAACACAAGGGTTAACACCCTGGTCCCATGGAGTCAAGTGCAAATCAAAGCCCTAGTCTCACCCTTTTGGCTCACAGAGGGAAATTCACCCCTGGGCTGAGAAGCAGTAGAAGGGCTGCAGTTTCCTCACACCTCTTTTCAGGGATATAGGGGTGAATTTCCCTTTCTTCTGAAGATTGCAAAGCCAGACTGCAAACCAGGAAACGAACCCAGAGATGGGCTTGACAAGCCAGGAACAGCAGAGGCAGCACATATTTCTTCAGCTCCTGTGAACACACTTTGTGCATCCCTTCCAAGAAACATGGGTCTGGACCCCATGGCAGCACTGCACAGCACAGTACCCTTTTCTGAGCAGCACCCCGAAGTGCAAGTCAGTCAGCAGAAGGGGAAATCAGACCAAACCATAAACCAAGTCAGTGAGGCAGAGAGGACAGGCAAGTGCTTCCCTAGGTGCCATCGTGTTGCTAATGCCTGTGCAAGAGCATCATGAAGTCACCAGCAGCAGCAGTTGTTGTCTGGAGTGAGGTCTACAGGAATGGGCAAGGGGCAAGCGTTGGATCCAGGCAAAGCAGCTCCATCTTCACCTCCATCAGCGTCGTGTTCTGGTGTGGATGCACCGTTTGCCTTCAAAATACATAAAGACAGAAGTTTTGTTTGGAAAGCAGTGAAGGGGAGAGGACTTGACGAAGTTATTATTTTACATTTCTTTTACATGCTCAGTGCCATTTTAAGAGCTTCCTAAAAATAATAACGAACAGAAAGTCTATGCATCATTACTCCACACTCTGTCAGCAGTCAGGGCCCATTAAGCTTTATTAAAGAAAGAAAAGACAGGGGAAAGAAACGGGGAAAGGAGGAGAAAGAAGGAATTGTACTGTTAGAATTGGTCCTCTGGTGTATGCCTCCCTCAAAGGGCCAAGTCAGACAGAAAGCCAAGCCTCAGCTCTGAGGTTTCCAATCCAGGTGAACAACATCTATGTGCCACAGAGCAGCAGGTCCTCCACAGGATCTTCCTGCTCTCCATGTGCCTGGCCATAGACAGGAGCCATGGCAGAATGCAGTCCCTGCCATGGCTGGGGATGGGTGCAGGATAGCAATGCTCTGCTGCAGAAGGTTCTCCAGCTCATGTCAGCTAAACAAACCTGAGCTAAATCACTGCAGCAGTCCCTGGTGAAACTCAGCTTCTGCTGGGACATGCTGCTTCCAGTGCACAGGGTGAAATGCGGGGCTGGCAATGTGGAGTGCTCTAAGACAGCAGTGGGTCAGTGCTAACTTCTCTCCACCTTCTTTGAACTGAAGGAGACACAAATTATGTTCACTCCCAGAAAAAAGATGGGATTTTTCCAGTCACTGCATTCATGTGAAGTGTTTAAGGCACAGGGAGTCCTGCAGATTCCTCCCACTGGCTACTGGCTGATGTCCCAGTTGAAAGATAACCTCCTGAGCCATAAAATCTCTCAAAGTGTTTACAAAGACTCCAAAATCCAGATTTTTAACTTCCATATGATTCTATAATACTGACTTCCCATGCTCTTTCCTTTATGCGTTGTTTTGACAGATGACATCAACTATTGCCCTCAGTGCTTTGTTCAAAATGCTGAATAGAAAGCTGGAAAGCATAAGGAGTAGAAGTATTGCAAAAAGCAGAGAATAAGTCTAAGGACATGGGGGCAGGAGGCCAGACAGGCTGGTTGATCAAAGACCAAAGCACAAACCTCTGCAATGTGAAAGAAGACACAAAAATAGGATTTTCATCTTCAGCAGCAGACTTGTTTCCAGATATATTGAGTGAAAGTGGCAAGAGAATGAGTCTTTGTCATTCCTCTATTTTCAAGGGAAAAGTCTTCAATTTAAAACTCCATAAAGAATTACAGAAATAGTGAAAGTAATTTATTTTTAGGTACTTGAGCCTTTATTCACTTTAAATTCAAGGCTGACTTAAAAAAGCTGAAAATGTTTTGGTTCCACCACTTTTTGAGGACAAAAATATTTTAATTCCTTAGAACATGCAAGGAGCATATGCTTCTTTTGAGGTTAATATTTACAAATGCATTTCATCTAGAATGCAAACCTTAAATCATTTCCTAATGCTGTCACTACCTGAAATCATGCTTTACTTATAAATACAGGAGGTATTTATTGCAGTACCAATACCAGGAGGCAGAGACAGCTCAAAGCTTCTGAGGCATGGAGGCACAATTCAATTTTTTAACTTTGTGGAACAGGGACAACTCATCCTCCTTGGCAGTAGGAAAACTCAATTCTGTGGCAGTGGCAGAAAGCTTCAAGCAAAGGGAGAGGACAAACAGCAGTGCTCAAAGATTGATGAGGTAGCCAGTGCAGGAGGCAGAGGCTTGGAGGGAGGGTGGCTGTGGGTGAAGGTCTCCCCTCCACATCTGACTACTCTTCCTTCCTAACCTGTTCCCTCAGTGCAGGCAGAGGCTGAAGGCAGAAGGAAGAAGAGGAGGAGTTGCGAGCACAGCTCCCTTGTGTGGTTACCCACCTATTCCACTGTGGTGCAAAGCCAGCCCTAAGCTGTTTGGCTGTAGCTCACATGGAGGAGGGATCGAGCAGTCTGAAAACATTTAAGCAACTTTCGAACCAAGTGCAGGAAAACAAAAGTCAACTCCCCAAAGACTGCCTTGAAGAAAGTCATTAAAGAAATTACTCTCCCATTCGGAACCTAATTACTGTTAGGACAATTTTTTTTCCTATGCAGAATGGAGTAGTTAGACCCACTGAAGCAAAATGTTACCTCCTCATCATTCCTGAGGGAGCAAAGAGACATTTGTGAAACAGAATGGAAGGAAAAAAAGAAGTTCATGCTTGAACTTCAAAGATGTCCTGAGAATATCCTGCCACAAAAATAATGCAGAATGGCTCTGCCTGTCATGTATTAACAGCTTGCATATTTATGAGCAAAAGTTGATGCATACTCCAGCCGGGTAGGCACTGAGCCACAGAGAGAGTGCCACCACCTCATTTCTAAATCTAGTCAATTTGTGAAAGATGGGGCATAAATCTCCCCAAATTAAAAGAGATTGAAGCAGTATTTCCTGCCCATCTCTCTCAGCTTCAGGCCCTTATCTCATCTCTGCTCAGCCTCTCCCAGCATGACAGCTACAAAGCAAGCAGCCAAAGGGAGGCATCCAGAAGCTGCAGCTTTAGCACCCTGGGAGAAGAGGCCAGGCTGGACCTGATGACCACTTCTGGAGGTCCTTCCAGCTGGTCTCATGCTGTGATTGCAAGCCGAGATGTTTCTTATACCCCATCAGGTACTGCCATCATCCTCTCAGATCCCAGACCCAACACCACCACTGTTTAACATGGCTCTGTTTAACTGCCAGCTGCTGTACCACTCTTAAAAGTATTAATGATTTAGACAACACATTGGCAAACAAGCAGAGATGTGGAGACTGTGATTTGTGCTCAGAGTATGCTGCTCATTAATTAGAGTATCTTGGGGCTGTTCTCAAACCTTCTCTTTGAAGCACAATTCAGAGCCTTCTCTAGCCCCAGAACCCGTGCCAAGCTCATTCACCGTTCCCTACCAGCAAGCTGTTCAGGTGACCCACAGAATACCAAACAGGATTGGACTGACCTGCTCCTGAAGCAAGAGAAGACACCGAGGACCCCATTAACTGGACCCACTGAAGTAGAACTTGCTACTGATCTGAGAAGAGGTGCCTTTTTCTGTTCAGTTTATGCCCTGCAGCAGCCAGGTCCAAGCTCAAAGAGGTTACTGCCAGTAAAAGCTCTCCATGGGCAAATGAAAACCACTACAACATACTGACAATTTCTTTAATTGTTTAACATTCTCTTCCTTTATTAAAAATATCATAATTAGCAATACTGAGGATTTTGCTCTTTTTTTAACTGAGGCATCTCTTTACACACCAGCTATACAGCCAGAATAAGGTGAGTCACCTCCCTAGCTGAGGGTAAGGGGGAAAAGGAAGATTGTGCTTCTTTCCTGTGTGCAAATTTAATTCTCTTTACAATAAAACATTCTCCAGGAAAACCAGCACATGACCTTCCTTTTAACAGCTACCATGTCAGAGCGGGCACCTCCAAGAACTGGAACTTCAGAAGAAGAAACACCAGACCCTCAGAAAACAATGCTTTTGAAAGGGTTTGAAGGCAGATAGTAGGAAAAAGGAAAACAATTGGAAGCCTCTCAGCTCACCACTGTCTTCTGAAACTTCGGCTCATGGGCTGAGGTTGCCTAAATCCCAATGCAGCTCTGACAATGAGTCATTTTATGACAAACCCCAGGCATCATTATCTGCCTCACCAAACTCCAGCCGGAGTAACACACTGGAAATCTACAAACTCTTCTTAATAGCTCCTTGTTTCCCCTTGGCCGCACGACCATGCTGTCGTCTTGGCCTTCAGGCTTAAAGAGCTAAGGACTACGACAGCAGCTGCATCTGCCGTACCACTCTCTAATTCCCTGTTCTGGCTGTGGGCTAGGATTTAAGGATGCTAAAGTGTTCTGCAAAGTCACACTTGAGAGCAGAATTAGAGCATAGGTGAGAATAAGAAGTGAAAAGAAAGTCACTGGTAGAACACCACCGGAGGTGCTAATATGAAGCAAAAATTGCTCCCAGCAGAGTGTTATAAAGTTACAGAGCTTTTCAGAAAAGTGATAACAATAACCTCCTTTTAACATCCCTATTCTGCAGGTAAGGATCAGCACTTTAAGTAAGAAAGGATCTTTGCCCCTTGCTCCGCTTTTGGGTCAGAGCAGAGCACAGGGACTGTCCCACAGGCAGGGAGATGCGCAGTAAAGATGCCAGTTGTGACATACAGCACACGTCGCCTCCCCAGCTTGTTAAAGAGATGAACAGCAAAAGGAGCCTCTACTTTTTGGCAACCAGTGGCATCCAGAGGAACCCATCATGAAAAGCCTCTCACAGACAGACGAAGCTCTAATCTAAAGATGGTGAGAGGCACTGCCACGAGTCCTGAGGCTCCCAGCATTTCCACATCTCAGATCTCCAGCATCCCAAAGCACATGAACCCCTCTGCAAAGCAGGACACTTCCTAGGGTACTACAGCACTGGTTTTGCTCTTCTCTTCATTTTCTGCTCTTGCCAGACCCCTGGCAAAGCATGGGGGCATTCAGTACTGCAGCCTCCTGGATGTTTGATCTGCTCAAAACACCTGTTACAGAGTTCCATGGAACATGAGGCCACACAACTTGTATCACTGCATAATACTCCTTACTAGATTCAGTATGTAATGGATCATGATTGTCAATAGTTTGCTGTAGAGATCACATTGTGGCAGCACCTCTCCAGCTGGGCACATTAAGTGCTCTCAGAGTAGATGAACACTGACCATGCTTGCCCCTGCTGTTCACTCACTGCACGGAGGCAACGCCACATCCCAAATACATCAGAGGGAAAACAAATTCACTTTCCCTCTCTCCTCCCCATCTTGAAGTGCTGAAGGTGACCCACACTGTGGGACAGAGCATGCAGCCATGGCAAACATAACACCAGCACAGGTTCAACTCCTTGCAGAGACCTTTGGTAGAGTCTCTATGGCTGCTCTCACTGGCACCCATGTTGCTGTACACAGGACAGGCTCAAAGACAAGCCAGCCACCCTGTAGCCCATCCTGCCACCTCCTGTGGTCACAGCGCCACAGTCATAGTGCCACCTAACTCTCTGCAAGCCCAAGGCAGCTCCCTGGCCCAGGAGGATGTTCGTCTGGTGGCTGGTTCCTGATGTGACACAACGCAGAGAACCCTGCCCATAGCCACCCTCCATCAGCTCCCAAGCCTGTACCTGCCGACTGCAAGCACCACCAGCTCCATTCTCTCCCAAGCACATGTCAGCAGAAGTACTCACTGCAGCCTTCCTGCCTCCCCTTCCCCTGGCTCTGGGGCCATGGAGCCCTCCTACCAAGGCTACCCTACCGACTCCCTGCTGCAAGCACCATCTCTGAACAAAGTAGCCTCTTCTGCAGGAAGACTGGGAAATAAATGACTCCAGACATAATGAAGACCTTTACAGATACTCTCTAGTCAGCCAACCTCGCTTAACCTTTTCCTTAGCAAGATTCTCTCTTACATCTCAGGGACTATTATAACTGGGCTCATGAGACTGCAACAGTTTTCATTTTTTAAATCTATGTCCATGCTGCCTGTCATTTTTAGCTCTCCCCTGCCTAGCAAGGAGAGATCCCACTGGAAAGCACTGACCCCTTCTGCCAAATTTTGCATACAAGGTTTTTAGCAGCAAAAAGGCATTTTTTTGCCTCTAGAGATATTGTTTGCACTGCCATGGCTAGGCAGCAGTCAGTTCCAACAGCTGGCAGGAAAGCTCCAAAGTGCTAAGTGCTGTACACACACATGGTTCAGAGGTGTGCATCCATCCAGACTTCAGCATGGCCATGAAGCACCAGCAGAAAAAGCACCAAAGGGGTCACAGAATCCTATAATGGTTTGGGTTGGAACGGACCTTAAAGCTAAAACAATTACAACCCCTGCCATGGGCAGGGACACTTTCCACTAGACCACGTTGCTTCAAACCCCGTCCAGCCTGGCCTTGAACACTGCCAGGGATGGGGCATCCACAGCTTCTCTGGTCACACCTGCTATCCACCACCACTCACTTCAATCCTGCAGGACAATCTGCAGCTCTGCTCAGCAGCCACCAGAGCCAACACACAACAGCAATCGGATGTCATTAATGCTACAGCCAACAGGGACTTAAAATAAAACACCCCATCCAGGACAGCACTATAATCCAGTGAGATGACAGACAGAGCAGAAGTATCACTCATCTGATTTGCTTTGCAAAACCAAGAATTAAAGAAAACTGCAAATGCCTGAAACTTTGGGGAGGGAGGGAAGAGCAGAGAAACAATTTTATGCTGGCTATTTCTAGCGGGAAGCGTGGGGAGGGGGGACGATGACTCCATGTTACACTTGAGGATAAACCTGCTCTCTCTAATCCAATTTACGCCTCAACATGCAAAGCATAAAACAGGCTCAGGAACAAAAGGAGCGGCAGCTCACAGGGCAGCAGGAACGCTCTGGAGAGAGCGGCACTAAACGATAACTTAAGGGGTTATTGACTAGATTAGTGGGAGCTGCAGAGAGAACACATTTGCATCTCTTTCAGCTGCTCCAGATCAGATCTGATAGCAGCCTCTACTCTCACAGTCACTTAATTGTTCCAAGGTTGTTGAGGGGGGGAAACGTGTCTTTTTCTTGCACTGCAGAGTTCTGGGAAGAGCCATTCTTGGCTTTAAGAGCCATCTACCATTAGGAAAATTTTTATCCAGTCTCATAAAGCTGTTGGACTTCTGCTTTCCTTCAGTAAATGCTCAATCAGTTCTGCTGCCTCTGCAGGGCAGACAGAAGCTCGGGGCCTTGGCTGGGACAAAGACTCTGTCTACCACTGCTCTTGGAGGTGGGTGTAGGCAGCTCCCACCTCAGACAATTACTCATGTTGCAGAATAATCCTGCACTCAGGGGAGAGGGAAGGAGTGAGCTGTAATGTTGTGACAGCATCTACCATGAGAAAAACAGCAAGGAAAGGTGATCCTGCTGGGCTGCAGCTTTGCCAGGTGTGCAGCTGAGAAAGCTGTGCTTTAAAGCAAGTAAGCCCCCAAAGCATGGATATGCCCAGAGAGGAGGTTCAGCTTACCAGGGACTCTGCTGCCGGCATCGCTGTCTCGCCCATCGGCTGGCTGGTCACTGTGGCAGCTCTCCGTGGCACTGGGGTCAGCCCCCTGCTCGCTGCCCAGACTGCTGCGGCTCCCTGACAGGCTTGGGGAGTGGGTGCTCCCCAGCACCTTGCCCCGGCTGGGCTCCCTGAGGGGTGCTGTGGGTACACAACAGAGAGATGCTGCTGGGGGACAGAGAAGTGGGTGCTCCCAAGAGCCTCCCCATTCCCAGCCAGACACCCTCAGGAAGAGGATCAATACCCACTTCATGTGCTCTACTCTAAAACAGCAGTGGTGATCCCAGCGCTATAAAGTCAGGAGTGAGGAGCTGGCTGGAGATGTGCTGCCAGGTAACCTGCAGTAGCTCCCAACTGCAAGGGCAGACCATGAAAGGCTGCAGGCAGTGGAGCACCCCAGGAGCTGTTTGACCTATTGATGCTATTCCAGTGAGAAAGGATCAGATCCTCACCTGGCACAGCTACAGCCAGTGGGCTGCACCAGCGTAGGGCAGGCAAGTGGCTGAGCCAAAACCCACAGTGCCTAGAACCAAATATTTAAGCACTTTACACTTCCCACCCTACAGCCACAAGGAAAACTAACTCCTCACCTAGTCCTGCTTGTTGCTTTCCGCCTTGTGAGTCTTTTGACCCTGCAGGTGAGGGCTTATCATCCAGGCTGGTGGAACTGAACTCTGAGTCGCTCTCACTGTCACTAGAAACCACTGCAGAGAAGATCAGGAGGAGGAGAGAGACAGTTATTCACAATGTTCATAACACGTAGCAAAGAGGGTGCCAGATGGATCCAAATAAAACATGAACTAATGCTGACTCGCTGATCACATTTTCCCTCTCCAAAAGGAGCCCTACCTGCAGCTCCCCCACAGCTGTTCACTCCTCCTCTTAAACACGATGTGCTTTTACTTTTTACAGCTGATTTATTACTCTACTGCACACATTCCAGTGGTGGAGCACCTGAAGCAGACGCACACACCACCAGTGCTGCTTTGCTAAACCCGACTGGGGCCATGCAGATCACACTGCTTCTGTACTGTGCTTCACTGCCCAAAGCTCCCTGCTGCAAAGCCAAGAGCCCTGCAGTGTGGCTGGTCTGGGAACTGGGCTATGCTCCCACTGATCCCCATGTCAGCATGCCAGCAAGCACTCCTCCTCCTGATGTTTGCCATCTGCTACAACATGCTAAGGGCTGGCTACAAGGCTGGTTTCTGCTCAGCTGCAGGTGGACGGGTCCTGGCTGCACTGTAAGAGCATCCATGATTGAGTTATGCGGGGAGAGGGGCTGTCTTCCTCCAAGCTGCATTTCAAGTGTGGCAGGGCCTTCGTGGATGCTCCAGGATCTATGAGGAAAACACCAGATAAAACTGAGCACGTCAAATAAAAAACCCTGCAGTGATTACACAAAGAACCTGTGTTATTAGCTCATCATCCATTCAGCACTCATCCCTGTCAGCACACTGCCCAGAGCTGTATTACTCTTATACTCTCAAGGCTTGAAAGGCAAAAGGCCCTCCCCTTCCTCAAGCAGACAGTTCCCCCCTTTCAAGGCCACATTTTTATTTCTCCTGGCCATAATCCTGATGCTTTCCACACTCCATAGTTTCCACAGGAGCTCAGCGAGCCTCATTTTGCCAAACAAAACTTCCCAAATTGGCAAGTTATTTCCACTTTCCATGAAATTATGCAAGCACCTCTCCAGCATACACCTGTGCAACAGAAAACTGCCAGCTGCTCTGGGTAAAATGAGAAAGGTGTTTTTCCAGCTCCTCGGTTTTTACAATGGCCTGATCTCAGAACAGAAATGGTGGGGCTGAGGAGGAAGGTAATGGGAAAACAACTGTCCTTTGTTTGAGGGATTGCATCTACAGCATTTCTCTGTCTGACCAAGGCAGATACCAGCCCTCCTGGTAGCTCAGAAGCCATTTCAAACAATGGGTCACAATTCCTCACAAAAAATACAACATTGGCTCACATGGGATACGGAGTAGGCAACACTGCAACCTACAGCCTCTACTGTAGAAAAAGGAAGCCCCAACTATTTCTTAATATTCATCAGTATGTATATATATGCTCACGTTCACATGAGAAATCAGTTCTCTGTTTTGGTACTGAACAAACCACCTTGCCCCCACGCCACGTAACCAACTTGCCGGGTGCAGGATAGATGTGGGTGCAGTGGTACAGCATGACAAGCACAGGGCAGCAAAGAAGGCTGTCAGTTCATCTCTGTACCAGCCCTAAAATTCACTACATGCAGTTCACAGCGCTACAAACCCTTTAACTCAGCCCAAGGCAAGAGGATGGGTACCCCTCCCCTTGCAAAGGCAAACACAAGCTGTCAAACACTTCTGGCAAAGACTTCTGCAGATGCTCCTGTATTCAGGCAGCGATCTGTACTACACAAAATATTTTATTAAAAAAATAAATATTAATAGCTAAAATAGCACTTTGTTGGAGTTAACATCTCTGAGGATATTAAAGCTGGCTCCCAGAGTTATTGCAAAGCGTTACTGAAGTTGCTGTGGCAGGCAGCTCCCCACGCACACCGTACTGCTGGGAAGCTGCCTCACTGCCTGCACAGCCTTCCCAGGGAATCGGCTCCTCCTGCACCCACAGCCTTCCCCTGCTGGCACCATCAGGAATGGGACCTTTTACCTGCAGTGAAAGGGGCTGTGGAGCTGAGCCAGGCACAGAGCAAAGCCCTGGTACAAGCTGGGGGTGTCTTCATTTCTTGCTAAGCATCCTCAAAGCAAAGGTTTGGCTTTGGGCCTTGCCATCTTAAAGACAGGTTCACCACTTCCCTAAAGCTCCCTGGGAGAGGTGGGGAATTATATATAAATACTATAAATAAAAAAGAGATATAACACAAACCAGACAAACCAGTATGTATATTTCTGCTATAAAATCCAAATCTCAGCTGTGAGAATCATTCTGACCATTCCATTGCCCAATACCCTCAGAAAATGCGCTCCTGTTGTGCTTGGTCATGATCCTTTTCTGGCCTTCTGGATTCGTAAAATCCATCCCCTTACAACAGCTTCTTCCTCCGTGAATCCTTTAAAAATTCTGGAAATCAGGATTTATTTGGAGAAGGCCCCAGTGAATCAGTGGAGGTGACTTTAGGTGCCTCCCTTTCTGTCATTCAGCAGGTCAGAGAGGACCAGCACAAGAGGAAGAAAATATTAATGACACAAAGGCACTTGCACCACAGGAGCAGCCCTGTCTGCTCTCGTTTTCTCTACTGCCAATAAGAGTGTATTTTACCCACTGTACCAATAATTCCCTTTAAGGTAATTTTTCTCCCAAAGATCCCAGACCTTCTGCTGGCACTTTCCAGAGCCCAGAAGTCATAAATCTGGTGTTCCAGCAGTTGCTGATATATCAATAAGAGTCATTGGACAGCTGTAGTTTGAGAGAACATAACAGATTTATCCCTCAATATCCAGCTGACTGAAAAAAAGCTCATAAAAAATATGCACAGATAAAACTTGCAAGAAAAGCAGTATTCCCACAGGGAATGGGTCACTCATCAAGAGCCTGAATCCCTCTGGCAGCAGCCAGATGGCTGGGAGATGAAGAGTTTTGTTACAAACCAAGTGTCTCTTTCAGCGCAGTTTCTGTACTAGATCATGACCAGCATGGATCACAGTTGCATGGCCATCTCCAAGCAGGAGGAGGGGACTGAACTCAACTGCTCTCCCTTTTAGAAGCAGCACGCTTGCAGCTTTGGCATTGCCCAAAGCTGTAGAGAAGTTGGATGATCCCCTCGACGACCTGCAAAGTACTTGATGTATCCCAGCACTCTCCTCTCTGCTCCATCACTCAGGATTTAGACTCCAGCACACAGAACCTACAACATCCCCCTGCCCAGCCACTGCTCCTCTGCCTCTGATAGCGACAGCACTGAGCCCAGCACATTGCATTGCTTGGCAACAGGACTAGAGCACATTGCAACAGGAGAAACCACCAGAGACCAAGCAGAGCAGCAGGCAGCCCTCATGCTAAACAGTGCAAGAGCTCAGGAATCACACTTCTCTTTTTTCCACCCAGATGCTTTACATTTTTTTCTGCAGAACTTAGAGTTCGGAAGAAGGGAAGCCCTGCTGCTTATTGCTTCCCACCCCCTGACGGCCTCATCCTGCCTGACCCAGTGCAGAAACCCACCCACATTCCACCACATGGAGCAGAGCTGTTCCCCAGCACAAGAAATATTACTGCTATTCTCCCCATGACAATACATTTGTGCCTTAACTAATAGCAGGGTTCCCATGGCAACTGCTTGTTTATTACTGAAAAACTAAAGGCAATGGCAAATCCCAGTATCATCGAGCACCAGAGGAATAATGGGTGTGTAAAAATAAAACTTCTTCCTGGTGGGTTTGCCTTTTATTCCAAGAGGCACATTCCTGCAGTCCCTCAGTCCCACTGCCTTCCCACCCTTCTGTGGCAGGAGTAGCTGGTACCCAGAGTATGGCACTGAGCCCTTCCTTTTAAGGGGGAAAAAGGGACACTTAAGGTTTGTCCCATCCCTGCTGAAAGGCAGCTCCTGCCATGGAGGATGTCAAAAGGCCACCCTTCTCTACCAAGCATTCCAGAGGCTGTGCCGGGGCATGGATGTGTCTGTGCTGGTCCTACCTGACTTGAATCCCTTAAGAGCTGAGAGATGGCTCCTTCAGCACCTCAGGAAGTGAGCGGTGGAGTTAGACACGGCTGGCCAGGATAACAGAAACCCTACTGAGAGCTGCCTGCCAGAGGCAGGCATGTGAGATGCCAGAGCTCGTTCCTGAGAACATCCTGCCAAACAAGCAACAGGGCTTCACTCCGTGCTGAAAGGACATGTTCAGATGAGGGTGTACGAGGTGGGAGCTGGCAGATGCTATCAGCCGGGCAGAGGTAAAGCAGGCTGTCTCGTCAGCCACGTCCTCTTAAAACTCAGCCCAGGCCCAGTTGCAGATTCATGCTAGCAATATCACAGCTATATCATCTCCACGAAGGAAGGCATCTGCCCTGCACACTGCAGAGGTTTTGGGTGACAAACAACAAAGTCTCAGCACTGGCAGGTGAAACACACTTAAACGGAGGGGTGAGCTGTACAAACTCCCAGCTTCAGAGATGAATTGCAGCCCGCTATGCCCACTTAAAGCTGTCCAGAGGACAGGTGGCCTAACAGAGAAGGGCAACAAGGAAAGAAACAACCAGAAAATAATATCATAAATTAGTATTATCCAACCCGTAAAACAGCAGCCAGCCAAATATCAGAGCACGAGGAGAAAGGAAGCTCACCACCCACATCCAAGCTTACCAAAGGCCACTTTGCTGTCCTCCACCTGCTCCTTTTCTGCTCCTGCCAATATTTAGGGGGAGGCCTTCTCCCAGAACAAAGCTCAGCTAAAAAAACTGAACTAAAAAGCACACCAGGTCTGGGCTCAACATCTTGGACTCGTAGTGTTTGGTGTATCATGTGAACAGAAAACACCTCATTAATCAGCTCATTTGCTAAGACAACTCTCTTTTTTCAAACGTCTCCTGGAGGAAAACACAACCGTGTATTGTTGATCTAATTTGTCTTTAATTACAAAAGTTACAGTGAGGTTGGGAGTGTTTTCCTCATAGGGGCCTAAAGAGAAGGTTTGTAAACCCGTCTCCTGAGTCCCCTTTATTAACAGGTTATTTTCTCCCTACTGCACTCCCAGTAATGTTGATGTAGAAGAATGTATGCTGCTGGTATTGAGGGGATCTGATATCAAAAGACAGAAGGGGAAAGAGGCCAGACAATTGTGCTAATCCATACCAAAACAAAATGAAGAGAAATCAAAGCAGACTGGCAGTAGCTTTAATTCTGCAGTATCCATCGCTGTTGTGCTAATGTCCCCGAGTACTCAGCTCCTCAATGCCAAGCTGCTGTTCCCCACAGTCGGCTCTAGGCACAGCAGTGGAGTGGGCATACAAGCAATGACAGGATGGGCAGGTGGAAGAAAGGGGGAAAAGAGACCTAAGAGGCAGTGCTGTGAATGGGATTTGACGCAGCAGCGATCCAAGATGCTACATGTGACACTACAGTCTACTTCAATCAAGGTCTACCTCAAAGAACAGGGATGTGAGCGCTGAAGCTAATAAATGTTCAGGCTTGTCAGTGTTCTGGCCCCAGCCCTGCGCAGGGCTGTTGATTAACAGCTTCTCTGAGACACATTTAAAGAACAAGTCACCCTTGAGCTCTCTGTGCTGCAAACCTCTGCAGGCCTGGAGAAGGAGCTTCACCCTTTGCCAGTCTCACCTGCTCAGAGGAGTCAGCCACAAAAGGACACAGACAGCATCAGCTTGCTCCTACCCACTGGTGTGGAACAGTATCTCTGCCCACTTGCTCCAGAACTCAGGAAGACCCCAGGGAGATGCCAGCAGTGTAATTTCTAAATTACAAAGCTCAAAGTGACCTGAGGTTTCTGCCCAGTGGTGCTCTTTAGAGCAGCAGAAACAAGGAGCAAGCAGCCCCAGGGACAGAGGGAATAAAACCAGCCTTTTGTCAGACTTGGCTGCACAACGATGTCCATCGGTGGTACCACGCTGTCTATTTTGGCAGGAGCAGCTCTTTGGGCTGCAACTGCAGAGAGGTACCTGCTTTGCAGCTCATCTGTCCCTTGGCAGTCCCAGCAAAACAGTGGGGGCTGCAAGGAACAGAGGAATGCAAGGGTAAACAGAAGGAAAGAGGGTCCAGGAGGACTGGGGCTAGTCTGGGCCACGAATGTGCACTTACAATAACAGTGACACCTGAAAAATACACCACAGCATAAAAACCCCAACACCACTCACATAGGGAACACACCACCTCTTCTGGGCTATCCCTCATCTCCAGCATAGCCTTCCCTATTAGCTGAATCCTGTTAGCCACAGTAGAAGGGAGGTCTTTCTCCCCACCTGCTTCCTGGGCATGAAGCAGACAACCAACCTTTTCCCCTGGCCCAGGTGAAGGATCGGCTGGTCCCAATGCTCTCTGCCTCCGGTATGGCTGGCTCACTTTGCCAAGGCTGTGAGTGCTGCTCACTGGATTTGCTGCTGCTCTTCAAAGGCGTGATGTACTTGGGCAGCCCTTTGTAGAACCACGCACCAGACCTCTTCCAAACCTGGTAGAGACAGAGATACAACACCTTAAGCCTGGGTTTTTACGGCAAGAGAGCACAGCCTTCCCACCAAATTCAGCCCAGCCAATCCCACTGAGCTAGCTTGACCTCAAGGTGATCACGCAAACCGTGGAACTTCTTACATTCTCTGGGTCAAGACTACTTCTTTCTCTGATGCCCTGCTTGAGTCAAACACATATTCCCACACTTACTACAAGGATATCAGGATGAAGTTCCCTGGCTTGCACCAAGAACCAGGCAGTTCAGATTCTGCAGCTGTTGCTTTCCCACTGGGAATGCACAAAAAGAAAAGCTTCCTGGAGAACGCAGGCATGTGCCATGGGTGCAAATAGCTCCAAGCACATGGTCTGCTTAAAGAAAAACAAGTCTTGCACTGGATGGAAGGGCAGCAAGTCCTCACAAGTCGCTCCTCCTGGGCTGGGTCCCTCTTTACTTTCAAGAGAGTCAAAGACCAGCAGCAGCTGAGGGACACAAGCAGCAATGCCAGGACAGCAGAAATGCTGCCTCATGTACCCTGGATGGCACAACTTCGGTGTTCATTTCACAGAGAAATTCAAGCCAAGCCAGATCATTTAACGGGTGGGCTTGAAAACCCCAGAAGAAGAAAAATACCACCTAAATAACCTGAACCTGTAGCAGGGAACGGACTGAGAGCACTAAACTGCAATATCTCCTGTAAGAATGCCCTCTACTCTCCAATTTAGTTTTAATGCTGCTTATGATGAAGGAGCTCTATTAAGTATATTTAATATAAAGCCTGCTGTGAGCCAGAGAAAAGGAAAAGGATGGCAGCTTAGACAAGGAAAAATGGCCTTTAAGACCCTATTCTTTTGTGCCTTCCAGCAGTCTAATAATGAGCTAATGAGACAACCAGGGCAAAAGTTAATGTAGTAAAAATATAATTTGCTATTTCATGCAGGGGGATAGAAACCTTGCGCTTCTGTTCAGAGTGAAGGAGATCATCAGTGTTTCTGTCCCAAGTTTTCAAAGCATCTTGCATATGGTATCACCATGATGCACTGGGTGCAAATGCAGATGTCCTTAATTACAGCAATATGTTTGCAATTTGCATTTAGGGCTTAATCAAAGCAGAGGGCAGTGATAACACCTGGCACTCATGAGAAGTTCTTCTCATGCAGGCACAAAAAGCAGGACACCACCATCGCCATTTCACTGACAGCAGGAGATTGCTCAGCAGGTTGCCCAGTTCCTAGTCCAGAGCCATCACCAGAGAGCTAAATTAATCTCTATGTTTGGGGTCTTGAAAGCCAAGTGAAAGCAATCTGAATGCAGGAGGGAAACCTGGTAGCACGCATTTTAAAAGAGCACCCAGCAGAAGCAGTACAGGGTCGCTGTGACCTAGCACACACATCAGTTACTGTAAAAGAGAGATGCTCATGTGCACCACAGCATAATCTAGAAATGAGGAGATGATAACATCCTGCAGGTACACTAACATTTTCCTGATGGGTAACAGCCCAGAAGGATGGTGAGTCTGCCATTCAAGCAAAAAGCTGGGAAGCCAATTCCCCAAAGGGGAGAAAACTGCAAGCTCTTCTACAGAAAGGGCCTTGGCAGGCAGGACACTTTACCAGCTCCTTCACCACATGCAAGGAGCCAAAACAGTGACCCAGCCAGTCAAGGCACAAGCTGACACAGCTCTTCCTGTCCTCTCTGCTAGCACATAGGGACTGCACGGTATTTGGTATAGCTTGTACAACAGCACGTGTCAGCGCAGCACAGGGACGCTGGAGGATCTTGTTCTGCTATTGCAACAAAACCAAGAGTCAGGAAACAGAATATGGTTTTCAAATCTGGGACAGACACCTCTACATGGAGCTCAGTGTACTGTAAATTGGGTAACAATACACAGGAGCCGTAGGCTGGGTAAGCCCTGGTCTCCCTTGTTTCAGGGAGGCAAGAAGGCTTGGGAGCAGCTGCACTCAAAGGGTTTGCACCCCAGTGAGTGCCACAGCTTGAGGAGGGCAGGTTATCTGTCCCCTGCCACACACTGGGTAGCTGGGACACACGTAGCTTCCCTGCACAAATTGCCAGGGAGGAAGCAAGCCTTACAGCCATTTTCTAAACAGACCTTGCAACATCTGTAATTTAATTTGAAGCACTGAAGAGACCTATTATCTTCAGACGAGCTACAATTTAGGCACACCATAAACCCAATCAGACACAGCAAGGATTGCTGTAAGAAAAGGCTGGTCACCCCCAGGTTCCTCACTACCCCAAAGCAAGTCCAGTTATAGAAACAGTTAATGATACAATACACCCAGCTCTGAATTAGTAATACTAGTATAAAGTTGAGTCTACAATACATATTCACTTTAAATTGGTGCTTTTGACAGTTTGGTCTCATTACAGCAGTACTGAAATTGTTTTGAGATCAGCTCTAAAATCGTTGCAGCAAGATGCTCTCCCCTGTTTTAATTTAGCACCTCTGATCCCCTCAGGTTAGCAGCATGCCCCATCCAAAATGACAGCAGCTCACGTTCTGTTCTGCACATGGGCACACAGGTTAGTTTCAGCATCCATGCATCAAAACAGATCAATGCTGCTGACTGCTATTGATGGCAGTTTTATTGATTGCAAGAGTGGCCCGACAGCAAAGTTCTTGCTTGACTTTAAATTAATAAATCCATAACAGCTCTTCAACAATAAAACCCATGTTTATTAGAAGAAGTTTGCGCTTTCCAAGGAGGAAAGAGTTTTGCTCTCACCTGTCCCATTGACACACAAGGTAAAATCCAGCCCCCATGGCAGCCTGAGTTTGGGTAGAGCTGGAACTTCATCAGCAAGAGAGAGAAACAGCCCCTTCCAGCCTCCTGCAGCAACTGAAATTTAAGTAACATTGATCACCCCTTGCTCTAAGTGCTTGAAGGAAGGAAGATGCGTATCTGCATGATCCCAGATCAGAATGTAGTGGCCCAGTGTGTGGCTTAGGACAAAGCAGCCCCACCACGGCTCACTGGCTCAGCTGTCCCCAAGCCCACTGTGCTCAAACTGCCCAGCCAAAGACAGCCAAAATCCACTCCTATCCTTCTGCTTCCTCTGACATCTAACCTACCCTGAAGCAAAGTGAGGGAGGACATGGGAGAGGAGCTACTTTAGCAATAGTAGCTTTATTTTATTACTTCAGACCAATTTAACAGCCATGGCCATGACAAGTCCAGAGAGCTCACTGCCTTTTATAGCCCTGATAACATTTGTATTAAAAGCTGCGTTAAGCCATCATTCTAGCTATAGAATGAGATGGTGAGAAGCAGATGTGTACTTTTACCTAACACGTTCAAGTGCAGCCTGCAAATGGGACGTAACAGAGAATTACTGGGCCATGGTGAAACACATGCTACTGCTCAAACTTCTCCCTCCTCTTTCTCCTTCTCTGAACATAACAGTGCTAAAACACAAAACTTCTGAATAGAAAACATTAGGGCTTACTGATGGACAGGATCACAGCTGAAGGAATCATAGCTAATGCTCGGAGCCCCACTGAGTTCACTTTACCAAGCCACAAGCCCCCTAAACAGAGATGCTTAGAAAGGATCTTTGCTGCAAAGCCACATTTTGCTCTACCACCTAGTGCTTGCCACGCAGTAGCTGTTCTCATTCTGCAGCCCCGTTCCTTCACAGCAGCCCAGGCTGGGCTGCGTGAGGGGAAAACAGCTACCTTTAGCTTCCCGTGCTGACAGCAGCACTATTGGCTTAATCCCCCAGCAGCCGCAAGGCGGGGGAGCAGGTTCCCATGGGCTACAATGCTTACTGAAGAGAAAGGCACCTGCAAATGCAACCACCCTGGGAGGACTTCGTTGGCATTGCCCTCACGCAGCACATGCCCACACACTCACTTTGTCCCAGCTCTCCACCATGGCTCTGGCACGCTGCAAACCACTGGCAGGGAGAAAGAGCAAACGCTCTTCAGCTTCGTTATTTGCATTCATCTGCTTTTCCATAACACAGAGATTTCCAATTACATTATTTACAGCAATCTGTTGTCAACTCCCACATTCAGCACTTGAGGATGAAGAAAATTAAAAGGCAGTGAAATTGCTATTCGGAGCTTTGTTTCCGGAATAGCAAAATCTATCACACCCCTGACCCCAACGTTTCTCATGCTGCAATGGCTGCCAGCCTTCCATGATTTACCATTCCCCTCTCAATCAGGCCTCTTTTTTTCCTGTGGCTCTATTCTAGAGGACACTATTTTGAGTCTAACCAGTTTCTACCACCCCCAAAATAATATGGCAGGCTATTGATGAGTTCTTTGAATTGCAAACAGGTGCACATCACTTCGATTCAATCCAGAGTCACCCAAAATAAACACTCCCCTTCCATCAGGATGGTATTTTGCCAAGAAATCATCATATCAGGCTGCAATAACCCCAGACTATGCTGGTTGCTAATGTTCAAAACTGTATGAGTGCATATGTGAAAAGGGAAGTGCTGGGGGCAAGAGGGGAAGGAGGCAACTCCCTTGCTCCAGTGCAGTAATCTTCTTCCTCTGCATGGTTTATTGTGATAAACCAAAAAATGCAGCCAGCCATGAAAATGCCATTTAGAGGAAGAGAAGAAATTAAAGGGAAAGTGAAGCAAAGGGGACAAATTAAAACTTTAACAGGTCCCTGATAACTGACACTCCCTTTCATATTTGATGGGGTTTAAAAAATAACTATCTCCCCCCACCCTACTAAAGCTGTTTTCATTATCACTACAATTTTGATGTGCCAATTCAAATGTAAATGTGCATAAATGCTTCCAAGAGTATTTTAATTATGATGATAGCATCGCTAATTATGGATGTAAAATATATATATATATAAAATGGTAACTCAGGAAGGTGCTTTGCAGAACCTGGTGGTATCAGTCAAAACAAGGCTGTGCAGAGTTAAACAGCTGAGGAGGGATTTGACAAAACACAGCAGGACCCATGTCCCCTTCAGGCCAGGTGATGGGCAGACTTCAGCCACATGCAA